CTCCGTCTCTTCTTGTTCTCTTCATTTACTCCCATCCCCTCTTGTTATTTTTGCTCTTCTGTTACTTTCTTCTCCCTTATTCATCTTCCTTCTCATTTTCCCTTCTTTTACTGTCGTTTTTATTTCCTTTCTTTACTTTCTCCTTATTTACTTATTTTATTTTCGTTTATTTTCTCTTTCCTTCTCTCTTTCTTTCTCTTATTTTCTCTTTCCTTCTTTTCTTTTCTTTCTCCTACTCCCTTTCTTTCTTTTACTTTCTCTTTCCTTCTCTCTTTCTTTCTTTTATTTCCTCATTTCTTCAACTCTTTCTTTCTTTTATTTTCTCTTTTATTCTTTCGTCTTCCTCTTCCCTCCTCCTCCCTTATCTACCCCCCGCCCTCATCTCCAGGCAACATCTTCGCTTATTACACTTCCTCGTGCCGGTCTTTGCCTCCTTCGTGCCGGTCATCTTCCTTCAAATCTCTTCGTATTTCTACTTTGCACAGGTTTTTTAGATTTATATCTCCCATCTCCAATCTCTGTCTCTCTCTTTAGATTTTCTTCTCTTCTCTTTTCTCTTTCTTTCTTTCTTTCTCTCCCTCATAATCCGTCCCATTTCTCATTGACGCAATTTGTTTCCTCTTTTTCTTACTCTTGTCTTTATTCCTCTTCCATTTCTCCCACCAAAAGAAAACAACAAACGAAAATAACATGATATTTTTAGCCTGCGCCCCCTCCCCCTCCCCCTCTCTACACTCCCTCCTTGCCCTTCTCACTGACCCACTTCCTCCTCAGTGTGCTCTCCTTCTCCTCTCACATGACCTTTCATCTATTTTTAATCCCCTCTTCTTTTTTTCTTCCTCTTTCCTTCCGTATATCCGTCATCAGCTTGGCCTTCGCTGTTCTTCGCGTCCCCCCTCCCTAACCCCCCACCCCCACACACCCCCCCCCCCACCCCGCCCCCTGCGTCTCCTGGCTTCTCCAACATCCTTATCGTCTGCAGACAAGATTCGGGCCGATGCCTCTGTCAGTACTAACAATGCGGAGAAACAATGCCGGTCCGGATTCCCTCACTCGCATCGTACTTCTCTCCCCCTACCTAACTCCCCCTCTTTCTTCTTCTTTCTCTTTCCCCCTTTCTCTCTTACCACCGACTTTCCTTACCTACCCACATACCTACTTACCTAACTACCTAACTACCAACTAACTAACTAACTAACCAACCAACCAACAAACTAACTAACCTACCTACCTACTTACTAACTAACCTTCTAACCTACCAATCAACTAACCACCAACCAACCAAACCAAGCACCAACCAACCTGTTTTCCTTCTTTGTCCGTCTGCTTTCCCTCCCTCCCTTCCCTAACCTCGCTCCTTTCCTCCCCCCCCCCCCCTCTTCCTTCCTCCCCTCCCTTCGGGTTTATCGGATGTGGCATCAGCACACCTGTCTCAGACCAGCACGACCTCACCCCCCCATCGAACGCTCCTCCCCACCCCGCCCACCCCGCCCATCCCGCCCACCCCGCCTTGTTTCTTCTCTCCTGCCGAAGAGCCGCTCCATTTTTCTTTAACACACCCACCTAACCCCACTCCCACCCACCGCATCCGCCCGATCCCAACCCGCCCTAGCCCCCTACCTTTGGACCCCAAATCCTCTCCCGAAAGCTCTTCAAATAAAGTCTGGCAAAATCTGAATTTTTCTTCTCGATTTCTTTTCTGTTTAGGTCTTCACTCTTCCCCCCATCGTTAAAAAATGCGGAGTTTCATTCACCAAAGACCAACTCTTTAGACAACGGATATTTACAAAAGTCTCCCTTCACAAACAAGCATCACACTGGCTTCCGAGTTACAACGGCGGCCTTGCTGCAAATCGCCCGCTATAGCGAGGGGGTCGTAGTACAAGCCGGTGCTACTTACTGGATCCCGAGATTCCCACAAGAATGTGTTTTTTTTACCCCCTCTTCCTTTCCTCTTTTTTATTTTCTTCCTTCGTTCTTCATGTTCTTAATTTTTCACTTCTCCAGTTTTCTTTCACCATCTACCTTTCCATCTTCTATTTCCCACGCACTTTCTTTCCCACTTATCTTTCCTCCCCCTTTCTTATTCTTCCCCTTTTCCATCTCCTTCCGCCTCGATTCTTCAACTGCATTCTTCTTCACCTTCCCTTCAACCATTCTCCTCTTCCTTCTTTCAAGAACAAATAAATAAACAGGTGATATAATTCCTGGGTCTAAACGCACGGTTTCCACAATTTAAAAAGTTTCGTTGATTCAATCTGCTTGATTTTGCAAGGCTCTTCACCCGTGTTCATTTCTTTATACTCCCTTTACAATAAAATTTCTCCATTATTTTTGAAGACGACGCCTGAAGCGCGACTCGGCTTTCTTCCCGCCAGCTAAATGACAGGAGACGGAAAGTCAGTAAGACGGGCGGGAGGAGGAACTGCGAGCAAGGAAAGGGAGGCGGCGCTAAAACCAGCAGAGGATGATAGAGAGAGAGAAGGAAAAAAACAAAATAAAACGAAATTTAGGAAGGCATTACCCACTTTCTACCGGACGTCTCTCTCCGGCCCGTGTAAGTTCTCCCTGCATCCACGTCGCAGTGCCATGTGCCAAAGGATCCCCCCCCCGGCCGCCTCACCCCTGCCCCTCCTACCGTCCCCCACCCCGCCCTCCGCCGTCACCCGGATGTAGCGCCTCTCCTCGGCGAAGGGCCGGGTCACGTTACCGCGATCCCCATCGCAGCGCCGCCTCGCGTAGCGCACTCCGGCACCGCGGAAACTGACTAGTGCGAAAACGAGCCAATTTTGCTGTAACGGCCGTCTCTCTAAATGATAAATCAGCGGAATGGCCCTTTGGCAGTCGGCGCGCGCTGCAAGGCTCTCTCCTGCTGGGCCCCGGCAGCGAGCGCCACGGCACGAGGCGGGCGGCGGCGACGGGAGGCCGGGGCGCAGCTCAAGTCCTTTGCTGACGTTTGACATCCCCAATGCGTCCTTGAAGCCATCCTCTCCTCTCAGTCTCTGTTCGCCCACTTCCCCGTCTGCTCCAAACACCCACTTCACCCATGCCACCCACGTTTACGTTTTACGACCCCCAAACTCTCATTCCGCCCACATGCCCACCCACTCCCGCCCACGATCAAGCCCCACTCCACCCATTACGCTCACCCTATCCCCTGCCCACGCTCAGCACTCACTTCACCCCCAAACCCCGCGGTCCCTCCACACTCCGCCCATGTTCAGCACCCACTTCATCCCCAACGCCCGCGGCCCGTCCCTCCCCCGCCCCGTCCGCAACCGTGAAGCCGCCTCCGCTTCCGAAAGCCGACGTCGCCGAAGCCCTATTGTTCTCCCGGCCGACCCGACAGCGCCGATTGCACCGACCGAGATCCGCGCGATTTCCCTTTTACGACATGCGATCGCGATTTTTTTACTTCTTTTTTTCCTATCTCTACTCCCTTAACTCTTGTTCTCTGTCTCAGGTTCTCGTCTTCTGCTACTGTCCATGCTTCACTCTTTCTCTCCTATGGTCTGTATGTGCTTCTCTGCCTGTTTGCTTACTACACGTTTGCTGCCTGCCTACCTACCTGCCTGTATGCCTGCATGTCTGCCTGCCTGTCTATCTACTAGCCTGCCCGTCTGTCTACCTGCCTGCCGGCCTGCCCGTCTGTCTACCTGCCTGTCTGCCTGCCTGTTTGTCTACCCGGCTGCCTGTCTGTCTACCTTCCTGCCTGCATGTCTGCCTGCCTATCTACTAGCCTGCCTGTCTGTCTCTCTGCCTGCCGGCCTGCCCGTCTGCCTACCTGCCTGCTTGTCAGCCCTTCATCCCGAGCGCAATTCCCGCACTCTGATCATCTCTTGCATCGACAACCTCCAAGCAGCGCCCCGGGGCAGTTGTCGAACCCGCGCAAGACGAAAGGAAAACCAAACGCTCACTGGCTTTGCAAATGCAATTTCGTAGCCATGAGAATAAACAAGCGACAACAATCCTGTTGCATCCGCTATTTCGAGGCGCCGCGGCGCAAACCAGTGCCGTGTGTATTCATCCGCATTTTGAAGACATCGATAAATACATTGACGAGGAAAAATAATCATCTTAATATACAACAGGAAATAATGACGACCCGCCCCGCTGTCAAGCGGGAATGTCACGGGCGCAAGTGTCATCCGAAGCCCGCCTCGACCGCTTGACAGCCCCGCCCCAAGCTGGCACGTCATCTTTCGCGTTTCACGAGCGTCATTCCATTAGCCGCACTTCAAACGCATGACTCGAAACGCCATGCGCGCCGCACTGAGCGCACTGCAGCGTGACCGGCAATGTCATAACCGCTTCGCCGATGTGCGCCGCGCCTGCCTTGCGCCCCGGAGTCATGATCTGCAATGCTAAAGCACCGTGAAATGACCGACGAAAAAAATCGATTCGCACCGTCATGGGTAGGCATGTCATGGAGCTGTCATGAACGGTTTCGTGACCCACAATCGAAAGAGAATCGCTGTTACATCTCTACATGCCGCTTTCTTTGACATTTAAGCATACGGATGGGCCGGCGGCTTTCCCTCCGGCCTAACTCTACTTTTCCACTCGAGAACAGAGGAGTCTTTTAACGTCTTCCATCTGTTTTACCTTCTCTTGTCAAATACAATAACCAAGTTGATTGTTTTTTGATAACTGGAACTCTCGAAATAACAATGAATAATCATAACATGAACAGATAGTGTAATTCAGCTCATCAAAGGCATCTGTGTGGCCCCGAATACACAATCAAGATTTTTAAATTGCAAGCATAAGCGTGAATACAAATATCTTAAACGCCAGGCACCCACGTTACTTTCCCGTATTATACACGAACGCGCGCGCACACACAAACACAAATACACACACTCACATTCACACTCACAAACACAAACACAAACACACACACACACACACACACACGAATGCAAAGGAAAATAAACAGCAGGCGAGAAGGCCGAGGCCAACCTCCCCGGTGTCTCTCCTTACGGCAACACAATACCTACGTGATAGTGGCTGTAGATGAAGAGCATTTTCCGCGTGGAAGGGCACCGGGTGAAGACAGTGTGCGTTACGACGGCCCCATCAAGCCCGGGGCCCCTGTGCGTGCGTTTTATCCGTCAAGAGTGCGTGTGGTGCTTGCGGGTTCCTCGGTGCCTCTGCAATCACACCTCACCCACCATAGCAATCCTGGCACAGGGAACGTATGGTCTTTCCTTTTATATATATCACCAACAGGAGGAAGAGTGTCTTTGCACGTGTTCTACAGGCAAGGAACAGTCCTCGGCTAATGGATTTTCAGGCCAGCCACTCGAGATCACAAAAACGTACTTCCGTTCGCCGCCACAATAAACCCACTTATTGTTCTTTTTCCAATTAATTGCACACTAAAACCATAACTCTATCAAAACCTCCAGTTGCCTTCCTTGTTCACGCCACGGCACTGTGTCACGGCGCGCGGCGAATCCCCCTGGTCCTGCCGGGACGCACTGCCGCCTCTACTGCCTATTAGGTTTCCGGGGATGTACTGCCGCCGCGCCAGATGTAGGGAGTGGCGCCCCCTCCGGCTGTATGGAGGGGGGGGCGGGCTTGATGGGCGTAGGCACTCAGATCTCTCTTTTGGTAGGAGAATGACGTCCTGTTCTATGGGCACCTCTGCACGCCTCTCCGGGCGAGCCAAGCGGGTATGGGCGTCGTCCCTCGTGCTCTAGTTCCGCGGTCGCAGTAGCAAGGCAGGTGTCCCAGTGAGCAGGAACAGTAACCGAGCGGGTCCTCGCCAAAGAACCGTCAAGCGGGTTCGACCGCGAGTCATTAACAAGTTTATGTCCAAAAGACGAACCTTTGCGGCTGCCGTTATGGAATTTCGGTTCAGTCACTCGCCGAGCTTCCCTGCGCTCGAAGGCTCACAGCTTCAGTACTTTTCCATCATCCTCGGTTTCCTGTAACCGCATCAAATCAAACAGAAAATCAATAACCCAAGGTGCACCTCAACATTCTTTGCTTTCTCTCTGTTATGAACAAGGGCGGGGAAGGGAGGTGGCGAAGCATCCCAGCAAAAACTAATTAGAGGCTAAAGATCTTACAAGTTATGACTCCCTCGTAAATTCACTAATTACTTCCACGGACAGGCCCGTTACTGTTGCATTAACGGTACCGGGGGCCTCCTTCCCTCCTTCCCTTCTTTCCCTTCCTTCCTGCCTCCTTCCCTCCACTCCCTCCTTTGCATATCCGAAGCCGTCAGTCTCCCACCCGCCCCAACCAGCCAACACCGCCCCAGGCATGATCTATAATCACCTCTAAATTCCGACCTCGCGTCCGTCACTCGCAGGCACTTCCGCCTCGCAATGATCAGAAATGACCTCGCTGCTCCTGGCACTCACTCGGCAAACGGTGAGTGAGATTAATGCCGCCAATGGAAGGCTTAGGGAAGATACACCAGCACGTCGCACAGCCGCCCTTAACACTGCTATGGCGGGAGTCGACTCTCCTTAGGACTGCCACAAGGCCCGGGGACCGTTATTTCGCCATTCATAACATGCGAAAACCCTTAACGTCATCAATACATCATGGCAACATATCCCCGTGAAGTATTACATGAACGCATTGTGAGTATGTGCGTACGTGCGTGTGTTTGTACCTGACGAAGGAAGGTCAACCCAAGTCCTTAAAAGTAGTGGGACAAAAAAGAAATAAACCACGGCAACCGGCAAAGCCCAGAAACATACGTAACGGCGATTCATACTCATCTAGACATAAAGACAAATCCACCACCAACCCCCCAAAAGGCGCACGACACTAAAACCCAACAAGCAAACCAATCGCCCCCCACCCCACCCCCACCCCAGTAGACGTAAAACTCACGCCCGCGCGTCCACACTTCGCCACACACGCCGCCCCCGCCCCGAAAAACGCCGACCAAGCAACGCTTTATCCAACTTCGTTACTGCAATGCAACAGGCTGTGACAAAGCTCGTAAATCTGCGAGGAGACAGTTATGGGGAAACGCATTTGTTAAAAAGTCCGCTACGGGAGCAACCTTAACGGTCTTAGTACCGGGGTTATGCAGCGCCGTCCCACACGAGAGCCGACGCCGGGAATCGGATGAATTGCGTTTGATTGTGGTGATGGGTGATATTGATGTTGATGGTGATGGTGATGAGGAGGATTATCAATGATTATGATTATGATGATGATGATGATCATAATAATGATGATGATAGTGATGGTGATGGTGATAATGATAATAATGATGATAGTGTGATGACGGTAATGGTGAAGATGATGATAATTGATGATAATGATGATGATGAGGAGGAGGAAGAGGAGGAAAAGGATTATCAATGATGATGAGGAGGATTTAATAACAATGGTGAAAATGATTGATCACAACTTGACGTTAAAAGTTATAACTGATGACTGATTATGATGACCATGATCTTGACTAATGATGAGGGTAATTATGAGTGATAACGGCACAGGCGTCGGTGGCGATGATGACTGCGATCATAAATAACGATGATTGTGATTTTGACCTATTCCGATGCTAGTGTCCATGAAGATTATGATGATGTTGCATCTCTTCATGACTAATAGTGGTGATAATGATTGATTACGATACTGACGTTCCATATGATGATGATGATGGCGACGACAACGATGATGATGAGGAGGAGGAGGAGGACGATGTTGATGATGATAATGGTGACGGTGACGATGATAACGACTCCGACGATGACTCCGACAAGGTGACCACGACTTCCTGACCTTCAACAGCAGAACAAACGAACGGCCAGCAGCGGCAGCGGCGGCCACAGCCCCGCCGCCGCCGCCGCCGAGAATGCCAACCCAACCAGGCATAATTATGTTTTTCTGTCCTGCTATCCACCTGTCCAGAGCGGCAAAAATATCCGCGAGGGCAACACTCCCGCCCTCGCCGCCCCTCCGTTCCCACTCAAAAAATACACGGCGGGCCTCCTCGGCGCTCCGGCTGGGCCAGGCTTCAATCAAAGTAATCCTTTTGTGCGTGAGTGCGTGTGTGTGTTCGCGTGAGTGTATGTGTATCTGGAAGTGTACACAAGTATTTGCATGTGCACATACATGTGCACATTTTTTATTCCATTTGTGAAAAAGGTTCTTCTGTTTGGTGTGACAAGCTGTCTGTTCATTCTGCTTCTAAATCACCCTGCGTGCAAGGAATGGCCGGAGTTACAATCCACAGCAGCGTGGACAAGAACGTTACCGCCGAACTACACAGCGGAATGTTTGTGTGTGTAAGCGTATCCATTCGCATTTTAGCTGGAGCATGTGCACGATCTTTGCGTACACATGCATGAACATGTGTGATATGCGCGTTCCCCTTCCCGGGTACGCAAGCAGACGCAACCGCAAGCAACGCAGGGTTCGCGACAGGCAAATCAGCCGGAAGCGCACCCGCTCCCCCGCCCCCGCCTCCGCCCCCCGGCCGGGGCGCGATTTCCACGCCGCGAGAAAACGCCTGTCCTACAGGATAATGGTCTCGCCGGGCGCTCCCGACGGCGCAATTGGCGAGTCTAGTGTCAGAAAAGTAAACACGGCCAGAATATCTCGGCGTTTACACCCGCCTCGCTATGTAAATGAGCGAATCCCGCACATTCCGCACCCGGCCCGCTCGGATGCCATTATGTCACGGGGAAAAAGAGAAGATTGTGAAAATGAAGCGAATAAAAAAAAATCTTGCCCGAAAGTCAGCCAATTAGCAGCGACGACAGGCGGAGGCGTCACCGCAGACGTCACTCGCGGCGCAGCTGTAACGCGATGAGGTAAAGAGCTGATGAAACCGCTCGGCTTGAGCTGAGACTGCACGCACGGGCGGGCGCTTCTCGGCTGTCGCATCTCGGGGGCGGCCTTACTCAAATTTCTAAATCCGTGGACACATGTGTGCACACACACTGCAAGCACGTTCAAATGGAATGAAAGATCATATACATACAAAATAAAAAACACACTTGCGCGCACGCACAAACTCACAAGGACAGGCACACAGGCATGCACTTCCTAGAAAGCACGTATGTAATTATATACCTCTGCTCCCTGAATTATAATATCCCTAATTTTCCGCAGATACCTAAGAGCTCCATCATACATTTACATAATTTTCTTCACTACACATAGCCATGGGCCTAATCTAATTATGCACTAATGTCAACGATGAAGGTTAGCGTGGTTACATATGTATGTATGTATGTATGTATGTATGTGTGTGTGTGTGTGTGTGTGTGTGTGTGTGTGTGTGTGTGTGTGTGTGTGTGTGTGTGTGTGTGTGTGTGTGTGTGTATGTATGTATGTATGTATGTATATATATATATATATATATATATATATATTATATATATATATATATACATATATTTATATATATATACAATATATTTATATATATACATATTTACACACACAAACACACACCCACACGCACGCACGCACACACATTCACACCCACCCACTCATTCACTCACTCACTCACTTTCTCACAGACACACAGACACACACACACACATACACACATTTACATCCCCTAATGATATATTAATTAATTTCCGTTTCCACTTATTAATTCGTTAGACTGAAATGCCACGTACACAGAGCTAATATAATTTCTAATCCTAAGGAATCAAATATCAAAATAATTCTTTTCGCAGCCCTCGCATTCACCCTCGAAAGATAAATAAATAAATTTAATACACACACACACACACACACCTTATATATATATATATATATATATATATATATATATATATATATATATATATATATATATATATATACACGCAAATATAGTGACAAAAGCTCTTGCATTCCCCAGCCTCAACGCGAATAACAAAACAAACCCGAAAAAGAAATCTTCTCCCTAACCCCACCGCTTCCCACACAGAAGAAATGAAATACAATAGAAAAAAAACACGGAAGCACGAAAAGAAAACAAAAGAGAGAGAGAGAGACAGAAAAGGAAGAAGAAAAAAGGAGCGCCGCGTCCCCTGGTGAGACCGAGCTCGTCATCCGCCCATTCTTCCCATTCCCCCGTTCCTCCTTTTTATCCGCCCATCTCCCTCCGATCAGCATTGAGCTCATAAGGGCGGCTTTAGGACAACATTGACCACCATCGCGGCCCGACCGGAGTGCAAATCCGCGACTTCATATAACCTAAAATAATAAAAATACATAAATAAATCGTAAATAAAGTAAACAAATGTAAACAAGTATAAAAAGGTTTGTTTCGATCAATCAAGAGGGAAAGTGAGAGTCAGTCCATCCCGCCCGGGCGCCTACACGCCCATTCACCCGCCCGCAGGTCAGCAGGGGGGTGGGCGCGAGTACAGGAAGCCCACAAGATAAAGATCTCGGCACAAGGGGCCCGCAGAACGCCTTGTCAGAATTGTTTCGTGACCGCAGAGTTGGTGTAGGTGTCTCCCCCCGGCACCGGATGCTGGCTGACGCGGGGTTGAAGTCTTGCCAGGACTCTCTTCTCTTCTCTTCTCTTCTCTTCTCTTCTCTTCTCTTCTCTTCTCTTCACCTGTCTTGTCGTGACTTCTCTTCTCTTGACTTCTCTTTCTTGTCTTGACTTCTCTTCTCTTCTGTGTCTATCTTTGTTTGTCTGTCTATCTGTCTCTCATTTTCATCCGAGCTCTTCTGTCTTCTTATCTCTCCTGTCTTCTTCCCTGTCCTCACTCCCCTTCTTTCCGTTCAATCTCGAACTGAAACCAGGAACCATCGTCAGGAATCGGGACACTGCTCGCGTACGTATACCTCCCGCGACACACAAGGCCGACCCGCAGACGCAAAAGCCGCAAAAGAGAGAGAAAAAAATAAAAAAAATAGTAAAAACTGAAAAAGAGATAATAGCAACACACCCGATAACCCACATGATAAGCCATCGGCGGCATCACGTCGCACACCTGAT